CTCTTATACTAGCTGGGCCGATCGAGACGACTTTGACTCAGTCTGCACACCAGACGAGGAAGAATCAAGCATTACTGCCGTGGACTCAACGGGCAGTCTTTACAGTGATGTCCGCTCAAACAACACTGATTACGAAGATCACAGACCACAAGCCACTGATCTTCCTGTCCTAACAAGTCCCTCACACGACCTATCGGTCGTCAACCTGGAGAACGCTCCTTTATTTTTGAAGCAAGAATATTTTACTTATCCAATCCGAAACCACGTCCACCTTGCGTCTCACGACAAAGACGGAAAAACATCTCTACCGATTTATCCTGTCCTGTTCCATGATATCCAAGTCGACGCCATAATCGACAGTGGTGCCGCCGCCAACTACATATCTAAGGATCAAATCGACAAAATGAAACAGTCACATCCGACCAAAGTCGACATTTTACCAGTCAACCAACAAGGTGTACGTCTCACAAATGGCGCAAAGGAATCTTGCAACCAAGTCGCCCTGTTTAAAGCCGAAATTGAAGATGAACTTAACAAGAACACATTCGGATTCAATCTCAAAGCTTTCATTTTACCTTTGCCTAACATCTCCCTGATTCTTGGCTTGCCTTGGCTGCGCGAACAGAAACCCCTCGTAAACTTTACCACCGGAGTCTACATTGTCAAGAACGGGTTTAGAATCAGACCAAGACAATACGAGCCAAAGCTTTTCACCATGGATGAAAACAGTTATGAGACTCTTTTAGAAGAATTGGCCAGGAAGACGGCCCCAGATTGTTGGAATGAGAATATTGGGACTGTAAAGGGTAAGTACGAACATCACATTGAAACTGGTGATGCGAAGCCTATTAAAACTCACGGCCGACCTCACACTCCTCCAGAACACGCAACCATCAAGCAGTTCGTAGAAGATAGCATAGCCCAAGGTATCATCGAACCTTCCGATTCACCTTGGAGCTCGCCGCTCCTCCTTGTAAAGAAACCAGACGGATCTAACCGAGTATGTGTTGATTATCGCGCTCTGAACAAGGTCACTAAGAAAAACGCTTACCCCCTTCCTCGTATTGACGATGCCTATCTTTTCTTATCGGGCTCAAAGGTTTTTTTGACTATTGACCTCAAGAGTGGGTCCTGGCAGGTCCCAATGAACGGTGAAGACAAGCAGAAAACTGCTTTCACATGTAGGTTAGGTCACTTTCAGTGGCGGGTCATGCCGTTTGGTCTGTGCAACGCGCCCGCTACATTCCAAGAGATGATGAACTCAGTCTTAAGGGACGTAATTGATAAGTTTGCTTTGGTTTACTTAGATGATGTCATAGTTTACTCAAAAAACGAAGAAGAACACAAAGAACATATTAAAATTATATTCAGTATCTTGCAAAAGGAAGGTTTGGTAGTCTCAGCCAAGAAGTGCAAATTTGGCAAATCATCCCTCCTTTTCTTAGGTCACATTGTGGATGGAGACGGCATCCGAACAAACCCCGACAAAATCCAAAAGATAGTTGAGTGGCAAACCCCGGCTAACATATCCCATGTCCGAGGATTTCTTAATCTCTGTACTTATTACAAGCGATTTATCTTGCAGTTTGCCTCAATCGCCTCACCTCTTTATAAATTGACTGAAGGGTCCCCAAGACCTGGGACGTCAATTGTATGGGGGGATGCGGAACAACTCGCTTTCAAAAAACTCAAAACTGCCCTCTCCAAGACGGTCCCCCTTCAACATCCTGAACCTTTCAAGCCCTTTGTCTTGGACACCGACGCGTCAGGAACGAACATTGGAGCAGTCTTACAACAAGACACCAATACGAAGGTTCCCAAAGATGTAAGCTTTGATTACAACACTTATCAAAAGAACTTAAAAAACTCAAATCTAAGACCTATCGCATTTGAATCGCGAAAACTTTCTAAAACCGAACAGAACTACTCTGCTCAAGAACGCGAGTTGCTCGCGATAGTACACGGACTCAAACACTTCCGAGGTTTCATTGAAGGTTCGCCGGTTCTTGTTCGCACTGATCACAAGTCATTAAAGTATTTCAAAACTCAGAAACACATTAACCGACGCCTTGCTCGTTTTGTAGACGAGATCGAATTCTTCAACACCCAAATCATCTATCGTCCAGGCAAAGACCAATTGGCTGCTGACTCCCTCTCAAGAAAGCCTGATACAGAATTCGACGCAAACCCTCCAGAAACCGCCGCCTCCCTCTTTGCGATTCACGATCACGATGAACAATATCGTGAATTACTCAAGAACAAGCTACAACTTCAATCCGGTATGGACCCGTCAAAAGTTGGAAGTGGCGACCTCTTCTTAGACGGCGACAGAATGGTGAAAATAGATCTCAACCACCCTCATTGCGAACAACTAACAGTTCCGACCAGCAGACCTGAAGCTGAACGAATCTGCTACCGCATTCATGAAGACCTCGGACATCGCAACATCAAGGACGTCATGAACGCAGTGAAAAGACGATACTGGTTTCCTAACGTTGAAAATACCGTAAAAGAAGCCATCGACTTGTGCGAAGCCTGCCAGGTTCACGCACCAATCTCAAAGAAGCAAGGTATGCCTCTACAGTTTCTACCCCGAGGAAGACCGTTCAGGAAGTGGGGAATGGACTTTGTTGGTCCATTACCCAGAACTCCTGACGGGAACCAACACATCATAACCGCCATAGACTATGGTACTGGGTGGGCATATGCTAAAGCACTTGTTTCCACCTCATCAGACGCAGCAGTGGCACTTGTCAAAGAAATCACTTTGAACCACGGAGTACCCGAAGAAGTGATTACGGATAATGGCTCAGAATTCACCTCTCACAACTTCAAAACCTACCTCAAAAAGAATAACATCAAACAAAAGAACACCTCGCCGTACCACCCCCAAACAAACGGACTCGACGAGAGATTTCACGGCACTCTAACCAATGCCCTTCGTAAGTTCTGCAGTCCTTACAACCAAAATTTATGGGATAATTACCTAAATACTTGTCTTTTCGCATACCGCGCATCCTTCTCCCACTCTATGAAAGCCTCCCCCTTTTATATGGCCTACGGGGAAGAAGCCAGATTACCATCTGAAGCTGTGAGTATCAAATTTGATAACTCCTTAGAGAACCTAGAACTAATACATAGACAATGTAATGTATCAGTCGACAAGCTTCAAAGGACACGACAAGAACTCATGGACGACCTCAACCAAAGGGCGCAAGAGAGGTCCGCGACACAAGAAGAGTCATATACGGAACGAAATTTCCGCCCCGGAGACAGGGTCCTCCGCCAATTTGAAGGACGACCCTCCAAGCTCCATCCAAAATGGGATGGCCCGTTCATTATCCAAATGGCATCTCCGGATGGTACGTTCACACTGATGACTTCCAACGGACATATCTTGAAAGCTAAAGTGAATGGTTGTCGTTTAAAAAAATTCAAAGGGTCTACCGAGGAATTTTACTTCGCATCTCGCAGACTACACGAACGTGACGCAGCGGCTAGAAAACAAGGCAATGGGCCACATCGTACTATGCCGTGAAGCTTTTGAAACAGTTATAGATAAAAGTTCAGAAGATTTTATTGGTGATTTTGTAAACATAGTCCAACAATTAAACGAAGCCTGCATCAGACATCTAAGCCGTCGGATCAAAGGTAAATTCAAGGAAAACTAGGAAGTTTTCCGTCTTAAGGAGGGGATGGTGTGATTCCTTATTTAGGCTATTACCTTTGTTCTCGACTTACGCGCTTTTCGCGCTTTTTCTTTCCTCGATGCTTTTCCTTCTTTCCTATTTTATTGTATTTTCTTTTCATCATTATCTACTTGTAGAATGGATCTTGCCAGATCCGTCCCGACCACACACTATGTTTCTTGTGGACCGAATCCTACAACACCGGATTCGGCCATCTCTCTCATTTCTCCTCTCGTATCTCGACGATCTTCGATCGTCTCTTGTTGTACCACTTTCACTCCATTTCCTTTTTCGTATTCCAGCCAAAGATGCTCGACTATATAAGATCATCGCATCTTCCCTGTAATTCAAACACTAAGTTACTTCCTGCTTACAATTCGAACCCCATCATTGTGAGTAGAATCACAATTCATAAGAATAGAGTCAAAACCTGCTTTTTGGGATCTACAAGGCTTTTTCTCACGGGATCCCGACAAAGGAGCATGAAATGAACCAAGGACAGCTTTTACTCTGTCATGAGAGTGATGAGGGTACTTTGTATTTCTTTGCCACAATTTTCAGAACATTTTACAAGTTTTCTTTGGTAGTTCTCGAAGAAAAGCGTGTACCAAGGTCAATATGAGCAGCTTTTGGCTGTCGGAAAGCATTGTATGTAGTCTTAGATACGCTCACCACATTCGAAAAAATAGCAGGACGATGAACGGATTTTGATTCGGAAACATCGTCAAATGCCAGGCTTCCACCCTGGAGCTGCATGGTCGCATTTTGTTGTGCGGGACCTTATTGTAGGGGCGCGTAGATTTTTCCGAACACCCATTTCCGATCATTAATGTATGGAAATCCTATTGTTCGGAAAAATCAATCTTTCCCGACACATTATTCATTTTTGCAAGCATTTGAAATTTTCATGTGTTCGTAAAAAAAGTCTCTGTAAAAAGATGGTCGGAAATTTATCTCACAGATCCCCGAACATTCAATTTTGCAAAGGATCTTTTCCGCACTTTAACCTCTGTAAAAAAAACGTTGTAAAACTAAACTTTTTCGAGGGAATCATTAATTTTCCATCTCTTTCATTCCGATGTAAAATGACGATGAAAAATGGCGGAAAAAAAACATCGTAAAAATAATTAAAAAACCATGCAATGTATATTTTTACAAGCAATGTTTCACAGCCAAACAATCGAAAATAGCAAGTTAAATGCCTCTTTCACTCATCAATCCTTTCTAGTTCTAATATGCCAAGTTATTCATTCAAACACGCATCACGGCAGAACCAACAACAATCAAAAATTCAAAACAAAAATTGTAATTCTAAGCTTTCTTACACTTTGCACGTTTTGACCTCCGTGCAGTATTTTGTTCTTCCTCTTTTTCATCCAGAGCCTCCTGGATAGCATCATCTTTGCTCTCCATCTCAGGTTCTACCACAATTTCCCAACCTTTCCAACCTTTTGGTTTTTTCCTTTTTCTTGAAACCTGTTCTGCAACTGCATCTGTTGATACAATGTTCTGCTGTTTGACCTTACAATTTGGCCGGGATACCACGGGAACAGGAACCTTCGGTGAGGTTGTATTACCCACCAAGGCTGGTGCTGCACAACCGCACGAAAATATCAGTCAAATATATATTTTCGTGCGCAACATGAGAACATACCTTCTTGCTCCACACTTTGCAAAAGGCTGTCATCTACTATATTTTCTTCAGGAACAACTACAACTTCGGATTCCCTTAAGGGCTTTCGACCAGGCTTTCGACCAGGCTTTTGACCAGGCTTTTGAAAAGGCTTTTGATCAGGCTTTTCATCAGGCTTTTTGGCGTCTTCTCCATCAGAGGAAAAGATGTAGTCTATCTGCCGCTTGACATTAGTAGTATGTGCTGATGAGGATAGACAAGCAAACAAAACATCAGATCAAGAAGAGCTGAACTTGTAAATTAAAAAATTACGAATCGCTCACCTCTTTTGGCCAAAGGAGCTTCATCTTGGTCTTCATATTCATGCTCTAGGTCTTCTTCGGATTGAATATTGAATTCTTCTTCTTCAGAGTTCATCTCTCTGGTTTCTTCAAGTAACTCGGGTTGCGAAAAAGGTTGATTAACTACAAGCTTTTTGCCCAACGCTTTTTTGATCTTTGCATCCGCAGTCTGGCTTATAGATGATTCTTCCTCTGTAGGTGACCGAGAATACATGACCCAGGATGTATTAGGCGAAGGACCTCCAATGGATTCAAGTTTTGTAGAGACCAACCTCGCGAGTCCAGCATTAACCTGATCATTTGCAAGCCACACACCGGCTACGCCACCCACTGTTCGTACCACCTTACACCAAAAGTGATTGCCTCCCCAATAACCACGCGCACGTATCCAGTATGTGACACCATGCAGGATTAATTCATATGGAAAGTCACAATCGGCCATCATTGTGAATGCTTCTTCGCGGCGAGATTGCAATAACCATCCAACGTCGATTGATATATGTAGGTGAGGCGGAGGAGGATCAAATATTATTTGAGACTTTTCGCCATAAGCCGTAGATTCAGGATTGTTCAAATCAGACCGTGGTTTATTGTTCTTGCAGAGTCTACAATGTCGTGCCGATGTTCGACGAAGCCCAGTATCAGAACACCATTGCTGAAGCAGGTCTGGGGTCTGAGCGTAAGAAAATTCGTCGCCAAACGTCGCCTCCGTCAAAGTGATCTTGTTACAACTGAGCGTGTCGATGGTGCGATGTTCAGAGTTCTGTGGACAGACAAGCTTGCGCCTGTGGCCAACTTGAAACAACTTTTTGGTGATAGCAGGCGACACAGGATAATGTGGTCTAGTTTCCCGATCGAAGATTCCATCAAAGTATCCATCAGCAGAAGCCATGGCATCGTATTCGAAGCTTCCAGGAGCTCTCTTCTGAATAGCAGCATGGAGCGTGTTTTGACCGCTGGTTAATATGGTCTTGATTGATCCTTTCTCGCACATTTCCCATGTAGAGCGAGAAGAAAAAAAGATCATAAGATGGGTAAAGATATGTTCTGATTTCCCCTTAGATCTGCTGTACCAAAGTGGCGTATGCAATGCATACAAGCACTCTGTCATGGCATTGAGCCAGCACCGGTTTCGACGTCCCTGGGTATTAGAAGCTACAAATCCCTGATAAGTAGTCACAGGATTGCGATCTACATTAAGAGACCCTTTAGGTCGTCCAAGCCTCTTGGGACGGCCTAGCAAAGCATCGGTAGTGTCCGGTGGTCTTCCGTCGTTCTTTTCGCCGCGACGTCAAGTACGCTTCTTCTTGGCCCATCCTAGGGTTTGAGCGACTTTCTTGTAGTTCTTCATCTTGCCACCGTACTCAATTGATACACCATTTTTCCGGTCCACGTGGTCCCTTTCAAGACTCTGCACCAACGCAAACAACTGCACCAGACCTATTTGAACAGTACAGTTCCCTTCGCTGGAAGTGTTTGGAAGAAAGAAATATTAACACTTATTTGTACACAAGCGTGATTGAGTGATATAATATCTACCATATCATGTAGTAAACCCGATGCAGTGACTCCTGCGCGTTGGTTGTGGCCGGTAAGTGTTCGTTGCCGCTTGATTTGAAAAGCATTGCTTTGATGTCTGAAGCCTGCCACCATTGCAACCATTTCTTCGCTTTAGGGTAGGCCTTTCGTAATAGAGCAATCTTCTGATCAAAGGTGTGACCCCCGGGCTTGCCTGGTTTCAAAAGATCAAGAGCGTCGTGTTCAAATGAACTCTGTGCAATGATACACAGAGGGACAATTGAATTAGTAACTTGACAGAGTGCGATGAAATGAAGAAATTGATTAAAACAAATGCATACTTCACTGCCTGCTGGAATAATTGCACGGTTTCTCTTGACTCTGGTGACCTGAGCTCGAAAATGCTCATGGCACCCTTTCATTTTGTCTAGTGCGACTTCACGATCATTCTCTTGGAAGACATCCATGTACGCCATTATGAAACCATTCTTCTGTGCCACAGAGAAATCGACAACCTGACGGACGAGTGTATCGCATTCCTCGGTAGTCAGTTCGGCATCTCGCATTTGTTCCATAAGGGTGGTGAAGTGGGCGCGGTAGTGCTCCTCCGACAGGCCATTCAACCAAGTCATTTGGATTGGGATCCATTGACAGAGGTCCTCGTGATACATCGATGTTGATAGCAGATAACCATTTGCAAAAAACTTGTAGGTTACGTCAGAAAGAAGGCCACCGGCGTATACTTGTTTGTACTCATCGCGTGACAATAGCTGCTGTGCCATCCATTCGGTTTGAAAAGTCAAGTGTGTGTTTTTGCGCTTAAAGGATGCCGAGATAATGCTCAAACCACACCTGAAGAAAACAAGATAATTGGCAAAGGTTAAATGTCAAAGAATACAGATACAGAAATGTAACTTACTCGATCCAATGTATCATGTCTAAAAGGAAGCTGTCACCGGCACCTGGGACATTCTTTTCAGGAATTAATCCAGCGTCTGAAAGGATCTTGCGGCGATAGTATCCAACGTGATGAATATGTCCAAACGCCGGATGAATAGCAGAGGCTGTAACAATCCCTTTTTTGCCTGCTGGTGCTCGTCCCACCTAGAAATGGAGTGAGTATGAAGCGGATTTGTCAGTCTTCAGTCTGGTTTATATTTTCGAAAGATACGGAATCAGAAGGACATACTTTGAGTCGTAATGGCCCTACATCCGGGTTTTCTACCACCTTTTTGGCAAATTTTACCTGGGCAAGCTTATCTGGTATTCGTCGCCGAGGCCATTGATGAAGATGGACACCAGAGTGCCGGATTATACCCCAGCCGCTGGGGCAATGCTCATCCATACGGCATAAAGTGTTGGAGCAGGTGATGTGGCGAAGATATCCAGGGCACCGTGCGGCATCACACTTCTGAGGCCTAGAGACGTAATTGGTTACTTTGTGAGACCTGAGGTAATTTCTATTTCATAGATATAACACTCACTTGGTGTGAAATTCATCTCTCTTGTCCTTTGCAGTTGGAGGCGAGCCGAGGTGGTCACAAGATGGGTTGTCGCAGACTATAACACCTAAGCACTTAAATCTGACGGTTTGCCAGATGGCTTTGCCATTGTTGGTGCCGCCACCAGAGGTCGTATAGGTGTAGGCAAATGTGCCCCAATTCGCAAGTTGCTGTTGTGGCTGCCTAACATACACGGTATTTCCATTTGGAAGAAACGGATATCCTTCTTCGTCGAGGGTGGTGTCTGCATCTATAAAGGTTTCGAAAGAAGTGCGGTCCTGTGGAAGGCCAAAAGTCTTCTTGCCCTTGACACCTTCTTTCTTCTTCTTAGATTTGGAAGCGGTAGTTTGGTGAGGCTGATCACGAGACTCGGTGACAAAGACATTGACATCATCTTCTTCATGAAAGGCTTGGTTGCTTTCATAAAATTCTTCATCGGGTTCGAATTGATCTTGAGGGCCTTCATCTTCAAGGCTTTCCTTGTGTTCAAATTCATCTTGAAGTCCTTCATCTTCAAGATCTTCATCTTCGAGTTCATCTTCAAATTCTTCGGCTGAAAGATCATCTTGGAAGACAGATGAGTTATCCGAATCACTACTCATCTCGGCAGTCTTGAGCCTTAGAGGAATTAAGGTCACTTGGACCAAGACGGTGATTTCAAAGTTGAAGAAATAAACGATCAAATCAAATGATGAAAAAATTTGATGATTCTACCTTGAAGATAGGCACGCATATGTATCAGGAGAGTGTGGGTTTCTCGAGAGGCTTGAAAGACTCTTAAGAGACCCTGTGATACCCTCCATGAAGGCGTGTTTTTGTACAAGGACTTTCCAGTTAGCTGGATTGAGTCTGGGATTCAGTGGTACGTGTTTTGGTACTACTCGTTTCCGGTGAGCTGGATTCAGCCTGGGAATCAGGCTGCAATGGATATCCTTTGAATTGGATGGATCAAAAGGGTGTACCTTGTTGAGTTTTTGTGCAACGAAGGACACCGTTGTTAACGAAGAACGTGTACGTGGCTTTTGATGGTGGGGTTATAGACTCCCGAATCAGTGCGTTTCGCGAGAAATTGATTGATCGAATCGTGAGTGAAACATCAATTCTTAGAATGGAATTGGAACAGCATCAATCCTTGGGATTGGAACAGGTATGGGATCGAAAGTCAACTATCAGCCTCAGTCTCTTGGACTGGAATTGTTTCGTTGCAAAAGTCAATTTTTCAGTGATCACGTTGATTTTATCGAGCAATCGTTTGCGGACATCTTGTGATGTCTGCAACGGAAGTATTGTAAAAGTCACGATTAAGGGCATTTTTTCGGTTTTCCAGATGAAAGTTGGTTCCGAACATCAGTTGTTGGAAATGTTTGAATGTAAATTTCAACATTGTATTTACAGTATGATAATTTTCAGACCTTTTTTTACAACTGTATTTTTCCCGAACTTCTGAAAATTAACAATGATTGTAAAAATAAAGAATCACCCGGAGAAACATTATTTTTCCGAACAATAGGATTTCCGATCTATATTGCTCGGAAATGGGTGTTCGGAAAAATCTCGCGCCCCTTATTGTAGTACCCGGAACTCCCCTCTCTTTCTTTCTTAGTTTCTTTGACCACTTTTCCCGGCATCATGCTAACATTTTGCTCTAGTTATGTGTCCAAGACTATTCACTAGTTCATCAGATACCCCCTTTATCATAGATAGTCTCGAGCCGTTTAAATTTTGACAGGAGGGCTGATCATACACCACATGGTAAAAGGTTGGCCTTATGGGAAAATGTAAATACCAGTCTGATACCTTTTGAAGTGGGGAGCCACAGAGAAGCACTACTGCGAGATTCCGATATTTACAGAAGTGAATTTCTTCCACATCTGTCCGCCTGTGACAAGCAGCAGACTATTGGGGTTGCAAAGCAGGAGAGGAGAAGTGGATGAATTGGATTTTCTTCTCAATTTGTACTACCTTATCACATTGACAGTTTCATCTTAGTCATTTATTTTTACTCGTTGACTGGATTTCTGATACGAGAAAAATTCACAAGCTCAAATGCCTACAATTACGTCTCTTCGACTATCTTATTTACCAGTGCAGGGTCAACATTTACAAAATCATTCATTAAAGGGAAGTTTACGACAAAACGGACATGCAATAAAATATAAACTGGCAGCAAGAAGAGCGAAATCCTCCTCGCAAATTTTATGAGTTGTGTGACAGGGGAATTCAATGTATCTCTGGCCATCTTCGTACTTAGTGATGCAAATTGAACATTCCTCTTTGCCGTCTTCCTTGTCTTGCTCAGGATTAGGCGGGAGTGTGACTGGATGAGAACAGTCACTTAACAGAGTTACAAACACCAAAATCCCATACCACTCCTTTGCCCCGGGATTAGGAAGTTCAAAATCTGGAGAAAGCTTCGAATCAAGACTGTCAGCTATCAAGCGGAGAAGATTAGGAGTGATCGTCCTTTGAGCTTGATCAGATGTTTCATTCGAACTCTCCTCTTGCCAATCAGCTAAACGCAGCATCTCTATAAGTTCTGCTTCTAATGTAAAAAAATCTTTTATATGTTGAATCGTCAATCGGGGGCTATGTGGATCTGTCATCGCTTGATCCAGTGATTTTTGAAGTGCATATATTTGCTCAACGAGTTTTTTGTATTCGTCGTTGGGGGCGTTTGGGTTGGGTGCCATGTTATCTGTCTTGAAATGTACAGGAGTTTAGGTTGAAGAAGAGTTTTATTAATAGAATGGTAAATCTTTTTTGAATATTGGCGTAGAATGAGTTCCTTTGAGGGAATGGAAACACATCAGTCAGGCAGACCTGTTTTGAAGTACCTTATAAGGGTAGACAAAGCTGAGGGTTGGTCACTCTTGAAAAGCGCCAGAAGCTGATCTGACCTATGTTCAACGTTTACTATCGTCGAAAAGCACACCATCTCTCAAGATTGTACATTTCCGGTCCTGAGGCTGAAATATATAATCAATTCGTCATCTAAGGGAGTAATTTCCATCATTTCTTAGAAGAGTAAAGCGATTTATGGGTCGATCAGAAAAGTATCTCGTTCTCACAATATTTTTGAAAGACTTGAGCCTGTTCCGTTCTCGTGCTATATACTTCGGTTCAAGACGGTTGATCAGGAATGATTTCAAAAGCCTTGAACCGTACCACAAAGTTACTGTATGTCGGCCCTATACACGAGCATCTATATAATCCTCAGTTCAAATAACAACTGGTCTCAATTGATTGCCTTGAGGATCAAAAGATGGGAAGAGAAATCTGTCATCTCGATTTCTGTCCCCGAAGAGAACCAATCAGAACATGTGTAGTTTTTTTCTCATCTGGTTCCCCTTGTTCTCTTACTCCTGAAAGCACAGACCATCCAGAGAAAGCTCGCTTGTGATTCTCACATGGATCTCGATCCATCACTTTCAGATACGATAGGGGATCATAAAATCCCCTGACCCTTGTTTGAGGCATGTGAAGATCTTATATACTGTAGGATAAATCAAACTTTGTCCTATGTTTCTGACTTTAGAAACTCGAATATTGTCTTGAATCTGATCAGGCGCAGGAGGATGTTAAGCCAAAGTAGCCCAGTTTATCTTTGTTCCATGCAAGAAATTGTGATGGAAGGATATAGAACGGGATCTCAAGACGCGACCTTTTCAATAACAAAACAGCGCTTCCTACGATCACCAATCAGATAGTTGTTGACAGGGTACAAAGCGTCACGGGACCCAGATGGAACACACAATTCTCGCCTTTCCGGCTGTTTCTTTCGCTTAGTGTACTGTTCAAGAAAAGCTGGTCATCATTAAGGAAAGCCTTGCGAATAATTTTTCATTTCAAAGAGTGAAATCAGTCTCTTCATATAAATTGCATCCATCTCATTTTTCGGAGATGTAAAGTCTTTCTGTACTTACTTTGACCCAGCATCACCAACAGCTTTGTCAAGGTGTTATTTATTGCGCAATGCGAACCCTGTCTTTTGACCTGTAGTGAAAGCAAGAGACGTTTTGCTAATACAAAATTCAGATCTTTGTTGAATGGTAGCATATAGTGGTTCCTTGTAAAGAAACGAAATCCGGGTCCGTCCAGGTTTGCGTATATATACTATACATGGGCAAGAGAACGCAGATGCAAATTTCAGTAAGAAGTGAAAACTAAACAAAGAGAGGTAGAAGGGCAATGTTTATCCTCGCTCAACTGAAATTATTTGGTGTTTGGTTTTTACGGTTTCTGCTTATTCCATAGATCTTAATCCGCTTAAACAGAGAAATTTTCCTTATGGGCGTTCTGATTGCGCGCACCGTTCCTTTTTTCAGACAACGCTACTCCCGAACCTGATTACGAATGCAAAGAGGATTCAGAGCACTTTGATACTGTGGATGACACAACATGAGGCTATGTGACTCTGCTCCTTCACACAACAAGCAAGATGAAGACAAAAAAACATGTCAATGGAACAATTTTAATCAAAGGGCTCCAAGTTTCGCATCTGGGATCAAGATCTGCTCACTTTCTCATTCTTACTCAACGGGTTCATTGTAAGTCACGCCTGTAGACAGGTTGTGAGCTTTGATAAAAACTCTTGAGTGCAACTGCCAGCAGTGCTGATCATTTAACAATTTCATCAACAAAATCAAGGTTCAAAATCATACAAAAACTCAACACGGCTCCGTTCGGCAGTACGGGCATGAAACCATAATTGTTCGACTTACCATGGCCTTCAGACAGTCGGTACACATTCGATGATCGTCATGACAAGGGAAACTAACATCTTTATCGCCATTTGCATACTTCTCGGCGCAAATTTGGCATGCTGGGTCGTTGTCTTCCTTCAGACACTCCGGACAGAGTCTGTGCCAGGGAGAACTAACATCTTCATCGCCACCTTCGTACTTTTCGGCGCAAATTTGGCATGTTGGTCTGTTATCTTCCTCTTCGTCAGGATTAGCGGCCTTCGTAGGGTTAGCGTCTTCCGGAGTTTTGGCGTCTTCTATGTCAGTAGGGATAGCGACTTGGTCACTGGTCACGGTAGGTTCAGGTGGGAATTCGACTTTACGAGAAAATTCATTCAGAATCTTTACATAAACCAAAATCCCAAACCATTCACCAGATCCGGCATCGGGCATATCAAAATCGGTCGAGAGGTTGGGATCAACCCAGTTAGCAGTTTCACGGAGAAAGGGGACAATTCGGCTTCTTTGACTTTGAGCTTCCGATATCATTTCGTTCAATTCATCATTTTCCTGCTCGCCGAATTCTTGCCTACCCCAAATTTGCAACTCGAGATCAAAAAGGTTGTATATATCCCCAACAACGGCACGCGGGCCTTCTTGCTCTGGAAATCGTCGGTCGATAAGTTTCTGCAGGTCGTGGATTTCTTCAACTAAATGCTTGTATGGGTCATCTGGAATAATTTGAATTTGGTCCATGGGGTCTGTTTAAAATTCGAAGGGTTTTCTTAGCGGATCAAGTGAAATTACGTTAAAAGGTTGAGAATTGTTGTTCGAGGAAGTTGCTGGAGTGAGTCTCTTGAAGGGAAGAGAAATACCAGTCAGATAGTCCTTTTATAAGCGTAGAAGAGGTTCACGATTCATCACCAACGAAAAGCTCCAGAAGCTGATCTTACTTGTATGCCATGTTCGCGTTTGTCGAAAAGATCACTTTTTTCAAAGTTTACATTTCCAACTTTCATAACTTCACATTCAAAAATTCCTTCTCACAGAACATAATTTCGACTGGGCGAAAAATTCGAAACATTTCACGAGTCCGTCCGAAAACTGTCCTTTTTCCAGACATTCTTCAAAAGTCTTGAACGTTCTCCTTCATTGTTTAGCGTTCCGCTCAAAAAATGATCTCGAAAGCGGCCAAAAGTATCTGCGCATGAAAGGCACTGAATGTTAGTTTCAACCGAGTTAATCTTCAGATCATGCTTACAACTCGTTATGATATCTCATTGAATGACTTTCTGAACACAAAGCCCACGGGAACCGGCTAAAGCGTAGCTCTTGTGCTTTTCCTGCCGTTTCTTTTCATTGGTGTGCTATTCAAGAAAAGTCACTCAAGTTTAAGCAGCATTGCCTAGTAATTATCAATTCCAGAAAGAGCAGTCAGACTCGGGTTAAATCCATCACTTGAATTTTGATGTCATAATTGAAATTCTTTGGTACTTACTTTGATTTGACCGATTTTCCCAAACCTTTATATTTAACACTGCGAAGCCTATTCCTCGAACATTGTGCATCTATAGCAAGGCTCTTTTCTTGTCCAGTCAACTCTTCAAGATAAGCCATCCAAATTCAAGAAACGTTGCCTTATAATCTTCAACCCCAAAAGATGAAGTCAGACTCCGGTGAAATCCATCACTCACATTTTGATCATCCCATTTTTTTAAAATATAAATTCTTTAGTGCTTACTTTGACCAAGCTTGATCACATAATTGTCATGTCAAAGCTCACCATTTTTTTGCTCTGAAAAGCCTGTATTTTGAACGGTTTGCAAGCATAGCAAGTTTTGCTTCGTTCTTACAGACTGTCCAGAAAAGAAATCCAGATAAAGATGTAAGCCTCCCTTCACGGTAGGAGAAGCTTATGGCAAATAACACTCGCAGGTTTCTGTATTCTTGACTGTTTGCAAGTAACGTGTTCTATCAATCGAACATTGACATTAGAGTTCATGATGGCTATGAAATTAATTGTGGAGAAGAGATTTAGTGACTTAGAGCATCTCCACCGCGGACCTGATCTGTAAACCGAATACAGAGCCAAAAAAAGCTTGCTGGAAAAACTTTGACAGCTGTATTTTATATCCAGCTTTGTTCCATCCAACGCGCAAATCGGTATAAATTTTTGAGTCGTTTTGAGCTGCCCAAGTTGCCAAACCCTCACCCAATCAAGCCACCAAATAGCCATCAATTGGTTGGACAACGAGAAAATAGGACGCATGTGGTGACTTTATCACCACATGTGCCAAATGTACGTCCAATACTGGGACAATACAGTTTGCTGCAAATATTCGGTTGGTACTTCATATTTCAAGTACTGACCGTGTGAAACAGGGTTTGCTGGATATTGAGGCTCACACGGATGGTGAGCTGTTACGTTTCCAGACCGCGCTGGATGGTCGATTTGTGACCTAGAGCTGCAAACGTAAAATACACCTTACGTGTATGTCTGAAACGTTACGTTTGCAGGTCTGCGTTGGAGATGCTCTTAGAGCATCTCCAATGCTCCCAAATCTGAATGACTAAATGTTACGTTTCTGTCAGAAACGTAACCTGTATTGGAGTTATTCAGAAAAACCTCATCCAACGCCGAGGTCGTGTTCCCACATGGAACCTCCCGTGTGAACTCGTTTTTTCGGAAATGACACGTTCCCAGGCTCAGGTCAGCAAATTTGCTGACCTGGCCGAATAATCTGAATCCCAGTATCCCAACAACTATTGGGCCAAAAATAAAGAAATTGATACATCCGTGGACTACCTTTCTCTTTCTTTACGTGAGGTGAGCGCAATCGATCACATGTATTGTGTGGAACACGATAGGTGCGATCGACCAATTACGTAGATGAAGACATATGGTGACGGGGGTTCAACCTCAAATGAACCCTATGAGGAATTGGGAAAGAAGTTCAGTTGTGCGTTGCAGGGCGCTGTCACCTGAAAAAAATTACAGCTGTCCAGCCGAGGGAAATACTGAGCTGTACATCTATTCGGATTCAGCCACATTGGAGATGCTCTTACAGGGAAGTTTCCGTGCAGAGATGAGAGCATACTTTTTTTTTTTTTTTTTTTTTTTTTTTTTTTAAAGTGCATTTGGGCTTTTATTGCATAAAACACTATCTAAACAAGTTAATTCTGGAAGGATTAGTACGCCTCAGAGAAATCGGCCATCTAATCAGAGCAAAGATTTTGTTGTCACTTGATGTCGAGAGTAGAACTTTTTTTTTTTGAGGTATTTAACCCTTTAGAGCAGAAGTTTGAAAAAAAATTTGTTTTTCACACCTTTGTGGAAGTACAACCCATGTTGAGTTTGGTGGATAATTTTGCTTGATAGAACAACTTTTTAGCTGTATCTAGGATTGCCTCGGACGGTAGTATCCGCCGAACTCTGCATTGAGATTTGGCAATACGCTGTTTCTGATGTTTTTCAATCTAGCCCAGATGCATGAGCATTTATCAGCGGTTTATGAGGATTTTAATAGTGATATGAGACCTGTCTCGGACGGTAGTATCCGCCGAACTCTGCAACGAGATTGAGAGCATACTGTCACACATCAATAAAAGGGATCTGAAAGTCAAGACCGCCAAGAAAGTTACCTCGGATTCGAGTTTTGAGTCCGAGGTATCATCGGATTAAGATCACCTCGGACACGCAGATCCGAGGGTTTATTTGGAAATACTCGGATCATGTCCGAGGTGATTTGGATCAAGATTTATTGGCGTTGCAAATCACCTGGTGCAAATGCTTCTGGTTTACCAGCCAGACTCAAGTTCGGTAAAACGCGAGATTATCAGTCTCTATATGGTCCTCAGCCAGACCTTAAAATGTATCCAGGAAATCCGCGCCAGGGTCTGCTTTTACCACAAAATGTTGTTGAGCAAAATTTTGGAGGCTTGTGATTCTACTCACGTTCGCGGGGTGAATTTGGGTAGGAAGTCACTTGAGATTTGTATTGCTAGGAAGGAACAAACTCCTTATATATGCGAGCATCCTCAATATGTAGAAATTCATATGAGGAAATAGTAAAATAAATGAGATTACAACCGCATTATAAGAAAAAGTGGAGGACGTGAATGACCGAGTCCGGTGCTGCAGCCAGGACTCGGTTCCACTACAATTGTCCAACCTATGGTTTGGATGGATCTGGAAAGGTCCATCCTCATGATCAAAAAACTATCCAAGAAACAAGAGAAAATGAAAAGCATAGGAAAGTGAAAAAGCACTGAAAAGCGCATCTAGAGAAAACAAGGGGAAAGTCTAAATTTGGGAACCACAGGCCTTGATCTTGGACATACGGATCTGGTACTTCTCGTCATGAAACCTCAACACTTCCAACACCCTCTCGAAAAAGAGCTCAAGTCCCGCATTTGAGCTTGATGAGGTATGATTTCAGATCTCAAGATTTATAAAGTTAAGTCGGGAAACCAGAGCCCAGATTACGTTCCCAGGATCCACCTCGAACGTTCTTTTATGTCATACACATACCCAAAGTCAAGATTGTAAATGCATCATGAGGTAACGTTAGTCATTATCCACGATAGAAACTTTGTTTTGTAAAGATAACTGATTGCAATGGCTCACGGAAAAGCAGATCTCGTTGATAACTGTTGATAGGATTAAGATTTCGGGTGGATTTAAGTACAAAAATTATAAATCTGCTGTGGTGTTTATGTATATTAATAATGCCATCGTTCAAAAGTCAAATTAAGAAAGTCTATCATTCTTCTATTTGTGTCAGAAAGCTTTAACCAACCGGCCGTAAGGTTAGACGATCAGTTTCTAAAAGATTGTTTGGCTGTGGAACTTTGAAAGACATCTGCATAAATGTAAAAAGATCTTTTAGAGAGAGTAGAGAGAAGGCGCAGATTCGAGCGATTCGTTATTACTATTTTGTCGATATGGTACTCGTTTTACCAGATTTTTCACGTTTTCGCTTGCAAAGTAGACAAAGGACCACTTTTAGACGTCGTGCACAGTCCGATCAACTTTAACATTCGTTTTAAAACGTCGAGCCTCCTATAGTTTCAGTGAGGCTCGACGTCATCTACACAGCCGATGACGCGGGCAAACGCAGCATTGGGGGCTTTTACGCAGCCAGTCCTTTTGTTAGTGAAGGAATAGGAAGGTGCTTTTCTATTCCTTTTTCTGCTATCGCTATTTCTGTTATCTCGTGATGAGAAAACTGCGCAGGACGTCAAAAACCAGTCTATTTTCTATTTGGAGACTGGTTTAGAGTGCACATCACTGGATTCAAGTGCTCATCTGCACTTTAATCGAGGCTTTCAAGGTGCCTTTCACCCAGATGACACGAATGATAGCTATGGGTTTGCCCACTTGAAATATGTAAAAGAGGATTTGTAGAAGGGGGCAGGTGAAATCGGGCAGCCAGGATGAAGTTTCAATCATCGGCATGTCATCGAGGTATCTCAAACACCAGGCATGGGATTAGATAGGTGACTGAGTGACATCCACAAGGCTGTCACTCGTCCTATAGTTTAACCTTCCTGCTGATACCAAAGCCAAAAACCACTCTAATGTACTTCAAATAGTAACGAATCGCTCGAATCTGCGCCTGGTCCTTAGTGAGAGAGAAAAAAGATTGTGAGATTTGGAAAGAACTGCGTAAGAGACGTAAGAAGTTCTGACGAGTTCAAATAAGATTGATTAGAGACTTTAGATCAGAGAGTTCTTTGTAGGCTGAGGAAATGAGAAAGTGATTGCAAATCAGATTATATCGTCAACTCACTACTCAAAAGCGTTTCCTCGCGTACTTGAATTTGATTGTTATATTGCTCCTCATTTGGTAATTAGTCACTGATCCTCATCACAGTATATACTCCATCGCACAATTGACTTGATTCTCTCTGGTTTGATATACTTGATCGAATCCTCGAATTGCTCACTTCTATTCATCATTCTCTTTAAAGAAAATAGAAACAAACTCCATCGTTTTCATCGACTTTGTATTCTTCAAGAAACCAACTTACACATCAAGATGTACGATACTTTCACTTCAGATCACTTGATAACAATCTTGATTAGCTGTCTAATAATTTATTTAGCATTAGTCAAATACTTAAGATTTCAACATCGAGATCAACTATTAAAAAACTTTTCACATTTAAATTCTACATCGAAGTTAAAAGATATGACATATGAAGAATCAAGAGAGATTTCAAGGGTTTTAATCGAATTAGATTGTCCATATATTTCTCATACATCACTTTCACTTGCTTTATTCCAAACCTATTCCGTTCCAAGTATCTCTAAATTATTAAACAAAACCGGAAGACTGAATTTACCTTCTTGTGTTGGTAAGCGAGCAGAAGATACAGTCTGTTTGTTAGCCGAATTACAAACCTTTGGATTATTCAGTCAAAGAGGTTCTCTAGCCATCTCAAGGATCAATTTCTTACATTCGATCTATTCTACTTCGATCTCTCAAGACGATTTATTGTTTACATTAAGTTTATTTATTTTCGAACCACTTAGATTGATTGATCAATTCGAATGGAGAACTTCAACTGAGCTAGAAAAGTATTCTAGATTCGTTTTATGGTCTCATATAGGTCAAAAGATGGGAATCAAACATTTACCTAGTAATCCTGATGATTTATTAAATTGGTTAAAAGTTTATAAATCTAAAGCTGTGGTATTTGATCCATCGAATGTTAAATTGGGTGAAGCTACTATCAACTTATTTGCTAGACCTTATCCTAAATTCCTAAAACCATTCCTAAGAAAATCAATTATATACTTTTTACCTGATGATATACGTGAAGCATTTGGTTGGTCAAATGAAATTCCTTTATATATATCTAGATTGATTCCAATTATTTTCAAGATTCGATCGTTTTTACTATTACATTTCACTTTACCTCGTCAAGCTTCATTTGATTTCGGATTAAGAGATCCTAGCTTAGAAAACCCATCGATGGATGATGAAACTACATTTTATCAACGTTCGAATTGGTTATTTGAACCTTGGTATGTGAAGAAAACCTTTTGGAATCAGTTTTGGTCGGTTTTTGGATTCAGTGTTCCTTCAAATGAATTCCAACAAGAAGGTTATGAGATCCATCAACTTGGTCCTAAAGAGTTTTCTAAACTTGGTCATTCTTTCGTTCATGGTCAAGCTAAAGATATTCGGGAATCTAATCCTGAAAAACATTCATAATCATCTTGTTAGTACTTCTTTCTCTAGCTCTCCTTTTGCACCAAACTGAGAGGTTTTGATTGTGCGCTATGCATTCAGGTTCATTTCGCACAAATAAAATATTATAGAATTCCTCTGTTCTTCTGTTTATTATTCTATCATTGTAATCATCAAATCAAAAGATATGCTTAAAAAAAGGATCGAACCAAATATCCATCAGCTTGTAATTTAATAAAAGATAAATCAATATCTTCTACTTCTGTGAAGTTAAGTTTTGTGAAGTTCTTAAAAAACTCTGTTCTCCTTCTTATTTTCTCGAGGATTGAGTAGCATGGTAATCAAAAGTGAGAAATGAACAAGAGTTCAGAACCTTTCAAAGGCTTAAAAGATGGTCATTGAGGACATTGTGTGTTCTATATAATGGTAAACAGGTATTTCTTGAAACTGGTAAACAGCTTAAAGTTGAATGACGCAATATGATAACTTACACATCGCTCGTCACTGCGACGTCACAATGACCCCCTCATAACCTAATTCTCGTTTCTAGAACCTCTCTCCTCAAATGCCCAATAATTCCTGTTCCTCTTCGAATGGAAAAGTAAACCTCATTTTATAAAACACAAGTGGTCGGTCTAGATAGGATGACAGAACAAGCTGTTCCCTTACCCAACCCATCGATCGTCGAAGGTTTTCATCTACTAACGACTTTCTATTTAGCTAGCCTGCACACACAAAAACGATGCTGAATTTCACCAAACGGTTGATTTCCCTTTCATTCGCCTGAGCAGGTCGCTTTCGTGATCGTGTTGAAAGAAAGTTTGAACTTTTTGTCAATAGACAACGCTTCTAGGATCTACTTTTGACCATGGACATCGTTTGATCTGTGCTGTCATCTCAGTATTTGTTTTTATTTCGATTCTCTTCGAGTTCCCCGAATCTGAGTTTGTGATACTTAATCGTGGCCGTCAATCGTGACACCTAATTGATGGTGGTCTTATGAGAGCCCGTTTAGATTGTACTTGAGCTCCTTCGAACCCGGAAGAAGCCATGAAGCCATTGCATGCTTCAATAGATCTAATCGGTCTCTTTCCGACCTACTGTTTTCATTATTCCTACCTACCAGTGTCTGCTGTTTGCTTTGGTTTTTCATGTTTACCGATTCGTGAAGATCTATGTGATTATTTTCATGAAGTCATCGGCGATGGCATCATCATTCACAATGTTAACGATAAGACGTATTCCGCAAGAAAAGTTATCTCCGTCGGTGTAAATAGAACGATTTGCAAATGCTTTAGCTTTTCAGCTTTCTCAAAAAACTAGAAAATGCATTGAATGGACATTGATTTTTGAATATGCATTCAAGGAGCATGAAACGCGAATTTAAGCTTGAAATAATGGTGTACTTTTCAAGCAAAAGTCAACTTCTGATAAAGGACGGATGAGCGTTTGGGGGCCTTCTCAGATTGATGAACGAGCTAATTCTCAACCTTCATATGTCACTCCTATAAACCAATGTCCTCTTTGTCAATCAATAGAATTAGTTCCCCTTCGATCTTCCAAAAAAAATTCTAGGCAGCAACACAAGTCCATCAAAACAATTATCTAAATTTTATACCGCCTCAAATGGAGACAGTGAATAGAACACACAGACATAGGCAACAAACTCATAGACGAGATCTTATTCCATACCCAGACCTCTTAAACCGCATCCAACGCCTTCAAAACGAATTTGATCAAGCCTCAATCAACATAGGTATCCCTCGACTTATTTTTGGTTTTATTGAAGGGGTTTGTAGAATCGACTCACTGATCATAGCCATGTACCGTGCAAACCATTGGGAAGAGTATGCTACTGACCTACTACGTCGAGCCACCCAAGCCACCCTCGATCTTCTTAACCATTTGACTTCGATTTCCCAACCCCATAACATAGACCTATCAATACTTTATAGACTTCCAGATATCGGATCCCGACCCTGGTACAGTCTACGAGCCTATGTAGGTCTTCTAACCCATCATTCTTTTGCAGTTGAAGAAGAAAAGAATGTAGAATGTGGAATTTGTATTGAGTTTCTTATGGTTCGCGAAAGGTTTATTCAATTTCCTTGTCATCATTCTCATAGGATTCATGAAACTTGTTTTCATCTGATGGCAGTCAGTGTACATCCAGTCATCCTTTCGTGTCCGTTTTGTCGTACGATTCCTTTTTCTGGTCCTTAGAAATCATTGTGTTCCGAAACATATGCCAATTGAGAGATATTCAAAGCAAAGAAGCAAGATCCTGTGTACTCCCACATTGATGATATATCAACAAATCCTTTTTGGGGTATTTCCAGGAAAACTAGTTGAGAAATAATGATATCTCTTGGGTCTCAAGGGAATCATTCAAATTTTGCGGTCAGCTCCTGAACCTAGGGGTGATGTGTGACACCATCTTTGATCCTTGAATATAGCTACCTTGAAGTATGAAACTTGTAATAACAGATTGCTAGATCTAAAAAGGACATCCTTTGCATCTCAGGCTTAGATAAGAATGATAACAACAAATTTGGTATTGAACAACCTGCTGATCTGAAGTGTGCCTGAATCAAAATTGCATAAATCCTTGTCTAGCTGAACGGGGTCAAGTTGAAAGAGGAAATATGAATGAAAAAGTTAACATTGTTATAACATTAAAGGTTGCCATTCTGGTAGTCAAGCTGAGGCAGATGTTACTAGTTTGAAAATATCATAAAAATAAGGAGTACCCATTGAGCACAATCACTGAACAATCACTGAACTTCTTAGTTAACAAAGACACCAAGATTCAAAAGAAGGAGGAAAGCCAGTGGATATGAATGCTGATTTAAATATAAGTTAAAGTGAAAAATCTAAATCTTTGAACTAGTAAAACCAAAACATTTTCAGACATATCCCTTGCAATGTTTAATTGATGATTTTTGAGGAAGTCTTAAATACTCACCACATATTACTTGGACTTGGGACTTGGGAGGAGTCACAATCTAGATAAATTCTTTCATATTCCACTTGATCTGTGGTTGAAGTATGAGCTGCTCTATGGTAAGAAGACCAGACTTGAACCTTCTCAATTCAAGATAAATAGACATGTCTTTGTGGTGGGCTTTTGGGAATCAAGACCTACATCTGGTATTTGAGACCAAACAAGTCACTCATGGTTTGCCTAGAATTGCATGATCATCTTGTTCTGTGTTGGAGACTAATATCTATCAATATTAATCCCACATCTCAAGTTTGTTTGAATCCTAGAAAATCTTAAAACTCCTCTGGGTATAATAAAGTAAAGGAAAAGATATTACACTTTTCTCCAGATCATAATACTTGAAAGGTTGTATAGAGGACTTGCCAATCATCTAAGGAGTTTATGTGATCCAGCAATTTCTGAGTAAGATCCTGAACATGAGATAATACCCAGTGGCTATAATGTTGTACCCCTTCTCTTGGTAGTTGAATCATTCTCAAGGAGTTTCTTTCATCTGCAAGTATTGTATTTGTAATAGTTGACTCTAAAGAATCCTCTTGAGGTCACCAGGTAAAGTAATCACATCTCACATTCTCCATAGCTCACACAAAGCCCAGTATCCAAATAGGCACTTTTCTTCGCATACAGACCCATGAGAATCCAGCAGAATTCCATATTTTCCTATTTAATTTTTCTTTCCTTGTGAAGAGGCTTTGATCCTTGGTAGAATGACTGTCAGTGTAAAAATTCAAGTCAATTTCAGGAAAACAAAGCAGATCCAATCTATTTTCAACACCACTTGACTTTCTTGATTAATTGAGGAAAGATGTTCTTTTGAGTTTTGATTGGACTTCTTCATAACCTTGTCTATGAATGAGATCACACCATAATGTAACACTGTATCATGCTGGAAAGCTTTTCTCTCTTGAGCAGACTCAGGATATGTAACCTGAGCAGCTTGGCATGAATTGTGAAAGATCCTCAATGAATCTCCGGAAGGGTATGATTCTCCAATTAAAAGATGTCATGAAGCTTGGTACTCCATGTTTCATGCCCTGATTGTAACAACTGGTTCATCAAGATGAAATATCTTCTGATTTTGGTGGCTTTGCACAGGTCTCAGATTTGTAAAGGTCTAAATGTGGATGTTGAATAAATAAATTACTATCATTCTCAGCAGGAGGAAGAAGGAAGTAGGGTGCAGAATTGAGCCTTTGATCAAGAGGGCTTCCTTATAATTAGCTTTGAAGGTGGACTATGTTTTCTCCCTCAAGAGGTTCATCTCCAATACACAAAAGTTATGATAGTCTTTGTCAACCCCAGGTCACCACATTCAAAGGAAATTTGAACTCTTCACAAAAATTTGTGACAAAAGTGTTGAAAATGATGGTACTTAATTATCCCTAATGATGTCAGATCTGTTATTGGTAAAAACATAGGTTCAAATAATGAGATCACTTGAGTCAAGTAAAACAATATGATAAAGAAGCCTTGGAAAAACATTGGATGAGTGTTTTGTTTTAATGACCCTTGCATATTTGACCCTTAGTTTTAAACCAATGTCAGGCCGTTATCAATTGACAGAAGAACTGACAAAGTTCTGTGGATATCAAAATGGAAAATCAAGATGCAGAGATTTAAAAGAAGGTCAAATAGAGAAGGAGACTATTGATTTGAGCCCATTTGTGGTTAACCATCCCCACATGTTTTGCTTGGGACTCACTTCCCAAGATTGAGTTTGGACATGTACAATTCATGCTCTTCTGTCGTGTTACAAAATGCTCTGCTTACATATGAGGGAATAAACCTGACTTCCCGTGGAGCCGGTTATTGACCGTAGACTGACACAGGCTTCAAATCTCTTCAAACACCTGGATGTCCGAAAAACTTTTCATATCTAAAATGGAGGAAACCAGATCTTTCAAGCCTCTAGATGTTCCGTGCGGACTTTTCGAAGAGACGTAAGATACATTCAGCAAGTTAGAGATGAAGTAGGACATGTCATCGTAACTTGATTGACTTTGCGATGCTGGTCATGACCCATTCAATAAAAATCTCATAAACAAAGCAAACAACTGAAGAATATTCCCCCCATTCATCGAAGGTTGAACGCTAGCTCAACGCAACCCAATCCTCGCAGGGCACAGCGAGGCAAGAACCCGGTGGCTTCCAGAGACGCTGCGGTTCCAATATTGACCACTGTCATCTTTATTCACCATGCTCAAACTATTCAAAGTCTCACCAATCGATATCTTTGAGGCTTAATTATCAAGCTGCCCAAATGCTTTTGCTTGTCCGACTCTGCGCTTGTTGGATCAGATGATGAATAATAAAACGTGTTTTGAAAGCTTTTGAGGGTGAATAGAAGGAAGTTGTCGGGAATTGATTTGATTAGTTGTGAAATTGGTTTAAACTCTAAATCAAGTCAGAAACCTCACAGCATAAACTCAGCAGAATCGATATTGTTGTGTTTTGCAGTGTTCTGTTTAAAGTAAATGCTCGGAGACTTTCTCTTAACCTCAACTTCAATTTCCAAACTCAACTCATCATCATCATGCCATCCAGTTATCCATCTCAAAGATACTCTGATCAACATCCTGATCAATCAACTGGTCTCTCTCGTCATGCGATGCCTCAAATCCTCAAACAATATTCTTCACCTCGTCCTTCTCCAAAACTTCCTCGATCTCCTGACCCTCAATCATCAACTCAACCTGGCGAAGCAGTTATCGAGGAACAAACCAATAAACCGAACAAACCATTAGTGATGAACAGTGCTACTGCACAGAAGCAGTACACTAACAACGCATTCCATCTCGCTGGTTTTGGTTCGTGACCTTCCTTTCATCAATCGTCTCCCGCAACCGGATTGGATCAAACTGACATATATTCAAATCATCTCGAATGAACCTATAGTCGACGATAAGGGTGGAATCTATGAAAAATTTCGAAAATCACCTGAAGAACTGAAATCCTATGTTAGTATATAATTTAGATCTCTTATTACATAGCTCTAATGTTGAATTCTGATTCTCATATATGTTCACAAAAAAAAACACAGTCAAATAAAGTACGAAAGTTTTATGAAAGACAAAATGAAGCACTTGATTATTTTTTAGAAATTGATAATATTTTAGATACAAGTCTTAGACGGACTACTTCACAACAATCACCTCAAACTGGATTTTCTAGTTTGAATTCTGATTTAGAAAGATATTCAGATCAAGAAGAAGAAGAAGGTCCACTTTTAAGTAATTTTAGTGGTCCTAATGGTGGTCCGATCGAAAGTGCTGAAAAATTGAATAGGGAAGAAGAAGAAAGTAAGAGTGTTAGGTTGGCAATCAATGTGAACTTTTTAGTAAGCTTTTTTCTTTCTCCTTTTGGTTTGGTTTTCAAACTCAATTACTTATGACATTTATCTTTTTATAGATCAATTTCATCTTATTGGCTGGGAAAATCGTGGTGGCTTTGTTATCAAACTCTATTTCTTTAATTGCCTCATTAGTCGATAGCGCAATGGACTTTTTATCAACTGCGATCATTTGGTGGACAAGTTGAGTGGGATACTACTAGAAGAAGACTATTTACTACAAACAAACTCATTCAACAGCTTTTTCCACACTCTCCAACCAGATAGGAAGATAGATAGCAAGAGCTGGCAATCAGTATGGCAATATCCGGTCGGGAAAAGGTACAGGTTTATCTCACTTTGCCTTCAATGAAGTTCCGAAATACTGATTTTCGGTACATACGAACCGGATAGGCGAATGGAACCCATGGGGGTGGTTGTTTTCTCCGTCTTTATGATTTCATCATTTGTACAAGTCTTGGTTGAATCTGTCGAAAGACTTTTTGCTGGATCAAATACAGCTCTTAGTATACCTCTCACTTCAATGATCGTCATGTGGGCTACTATCGCTGTCAAAGGTGTGGTTTGGCTTTGGTGTCGGAGAAAGAAAAATACCAGTGTGAGGGCCTTGGCACAAGACGCTGAAAACGATTGGTAAAGTCGTCTTATCACTATACTTGTGTGTTCATGACGTTTCTAACTAAACAATGTATGCTTTCTAGTGTATTGAATGTATTTTCATTATTGTTTCCTTACCTGGGACAAAAACTCAATATCCCATGGCTCGACGCAGTAGGAGGATTAATCTTATCAATTTACAGTCAGTAATGCACAACTTTTTTTTCTCTCCTCAACTTCGTACTGAGCTTCACAAACCTCATCCGTTCTTTTTCGTGTTCCGCGTAACAGTCATTACTGAGTGGTCACATACACTGTTTGATAATGTGAAGAACTTGACAGGAAAAAGAGCTGATCCTATTCAACATCAACGTGTGGCTTATCTTGTGACTCGATTTTCTCCTCTGATTCAAGCTTTACAACATTGTCATGTTTATCAAGCTGGTGATGATTTGATTGTTGAAACGTCGGTATTTCTTTCTTCTCACGGTCACGTTTTTGAGTGTGGAGATTCATGATACATATTTTTTGGGGTTGATGCAGAGATGTGATCCTTTCACCTGATTTACCTTTGGTAAGGAATCTTGCTTTTTGTTTCTCTTGTTTCCCGGTCTGATAATTAGTTGTCAATATGATGTTGGATTTTAGCCTACTGCTCATGATCTAGGTGAATCAGTTCAGTACGCACTTGAATCTTTGGATGGAATAGCACGAGCATGTTGAGTCATTTTTTTTCTGTATACATTGGATTCCTTAACTTAGCTGATGTGATTTTGTTTTTTGAATCGAATTAGATTGTCATGTGGATTTCAGTAGTAATCCAATGTCAGGACATTTCCAACGTTGAAGTTTTTTTATTTCTGATTTGTTTTCTTTAGGTTGTGTAAGTTTAGTAGTATGGAAAATGAAGTAAAACTTGAAATCATCTTGGCTTGAATTTTTTTTCTATATCTTTTTTTGGTTTTCATTGTTGTATAGCTCATGTTTCTTTAATAATTAAAGTTATTATGAATGAAGTATTGTAGAATGGTGATTGTGTAACTTTTTTGTTTTTTGTTGGGGTTACTTTTTGGTAATTTAGTTTGCATGGTTTGAAGATAGTAGAAAGTTTAGTCAAGTCATATCGTGATATATCCAACTTAACTAAGTCTGCCTAGTCAGACACTTTTTCCTCAGTGTGTGGAGACTCGAGAGGGACTTGGGACTAATCGGCCGGTCTTGGTGCCAGGTGAGCGTGAGCTCGCATAGCTGCAAAAATTCAAGTTTTGCATGAAGGTTTTTTCACCACGCCAAGAACTCCCCCTTTGTCTCAAGTTACCCCCCAAGCATTTTAATTGGAACTACCTAGAGTAATTCCACTTACATCTGCCTATTCAGAATTCTTTCCACTTTGTCTGAGCATCCGCAAGAAGTTTTTTTTGAAATTCAAATCCATTTCTGCGTCGAGAGGGATATGAGAGTGAGGCGTCCATGTAAAGACGGCTAGTTTATTATCTAGTAAGGATTTAATAACCTGATACTCCTCTCTGAGATCCAGTACTTGGATTATCAGAGAGGAGGTTCCTTTCTCAAGGACTATCCTACCACAGTATGAATACCATCCTATCCGGTAAGCATCCTACTTGAAGTGGTTTGGGGTGGGCCTCAGGAGTCGGGGGTATGAGGGGTAAGACTCGAATCTTTCCCCTATCCCGACCCCCGCGGCGTGAGGACAGTGCCTGAGAAGTTTGACTTCTCGACCCCATCACTCACGGAGGGTAGAGCCGTGAGCCTGAGAAGACAAACTCCCCAAACTCAACTGACGTGAGTGTTTATTTACTCATTTTCTCCCTCCTCACCCCCTTCTATCTCTCGCCTTGCTCCTATCAACTACCATTTCAATTCCGCCCTATGCGCTGTATCGCTATGTGCCTCTACATGCGTTGTCACTTTCGTGGCTTTGTCGATCTCAATTACAGATGTACCCCTGTATCTCTCGACTCAATTCTCTCAGTCACAAGGTTTAAACTTTGTTTACATCTCTACTAGATTCATTACGATTCATTCAAAGTTTCAATTCTTTCAACAACTTCACCGTCTCCCTCAGTTCTTTGTCATCAAATTTCCTAAGATAGATTTTGTACGCGTCTGAAGCCCATCTTCCGCTCCTCTTCACCTCTTCCCTTGTCGCTCCTAGGTTCCATCTTAGCGATGCACATCCTATACGAAAGGAGTGGCCATACAATCGTTTCTTGTTTTCTGGCCTGTACAAGTTCCATATGTCTCTGTACCTTGCTATCAACTTGGTCTTCTTGAACACCAGTCCTTTCTCGCCGTGTCCGTTTATCGCAAACACCTGGTCAGTCGGGTTCCTAGGTCTGAAGTCGTACAGCAATTTCAACGCTCTAACGGGGTCTATACACGACTTTTGATCTTGCAGGTGAATGTACTGAATTTCTCCCGGGCTTGTGGTTTTAGCTTGATGTAATGCTATTCTAATGTATGAACCTCCCGGTCCCCACTCGACGTCTTCCCATGTCGGTAGCCTCACTTGTGGATCGTCCGACACCAGCTCACCCAGCCTAGCGGTCCCCCAGAACGCTACTAATGCAATTGTTATCGCTACCAGGTCTTGTTCGTTCTGCATGTTTCCCACCTTGGCCAGTTGGACTAGATCCGATATGAGGACCGGGGGTCGTTTCGTTTCAATTTCTTTGTGTCTTAGTTCGACTATTCTGGTAGCCTTCAATAACTTCGACACGGCCAACTCCGATCCCATTGGATATTTGCATTTGTGGAACAAATGCCATGCTTTGATTCCGGCTAGGTACGATTGTATGGTTGTCGATTTAACTGATTCGTCTTCTTCTGCTCTTGATGCTCCTTTCATTGACGCCCATACCACAAATCTTTCCACTAGGTCCTCTGACATTGGTAGTAATCTTTCTTTATCTATCTTTTTCACCTCTGCGAACCGTAATAATTTTATTATCCCTGAGTTATAATGTTTTAAAGTCCCCTCTTTCCACGCTCCTCTCAAGAAGTGCATTTGAACTTCGTCTTCTCCCGATCGATCTTCTCCTAGTGCGTTTTTCTTAAAACTCCCATATGGTTTAGTTGCTCTTGCTAACTCCTCTACTGATTCAACATCTTCTTTTGTTAGGTTTTTCCTCGCTTTCCTCGGCATTGGCGTTGTTTTATAGTTTGTGTTGGTCTGATGTCGGGAGTGGTAAAGAGACTTGGTGTATTAGATCCTTTAAGTCTGCGGGTATTTCGACCTTGACCTCGTCACTCCACAATCTCCCGCTTAATATCCCCCGCGACAGGCCATCAGCCAAGTTGTTCTTCGATGTTACTCGTTTCCCTCGGATGTTACACCCTAATATAGTCAGTAATCGCTGAATTCGTTTCATCTCGTCGTTTACTCTCTCATCTTTTGATTTTCTTTTCTTGATGGCTGATTGTGTTGTTGTGTTGTCTGTTTCCACCCTGAAGGTTCGACCTCACACAGGTATTACTTTTGCCAACACTAGCAGTCCCAGTCTGATTGTGACTGTCTCTGCCCACACAATGTTGCGTTTCCCTTTTGTCAGACCCTTGACTAACCAATCCGCGTCCCATGCGAAACACGCCCATTTGGATCCTATCAGTATTCCGATTCCGTAGGATGAAGACGCATCTCCTACCCAGTCCACTATCTCTGGGGTTCTGCTTGGTACTAACGTGCACGATTCGAATGTCTCTAAACAGATTCTCCATTTGACTAAGTCCGCTACCACGTCCTCTGGCGTGTATCTTTTCGCATTAACGTTTTGCCAAGTCTTCAGCCATCTATAAAACGAGCATAGATAAGCTGCCATGTGGGGTACGATGTGGATCGTGTGCCCGAGTCTCCCCAGGAACCTCTCCACCTGGTCGTACTTCCAATCCCTCTCTGGATTGAGGTATTCGATCACTTGTGTAAGTCTTTCATTTATTTTCTCTTGAGGTAGTCTAACTGAATGCTTATACCCTAGCGCATGCATAATCAGACCAATTTCTGTTCATCCAGCAAATTCTTGGTTTTTCTTTTCACTTTGTTCTCACCCCCATATCGTCGCTCAATTGCTCTATGTGTTCCAACTTCCACTTGGTCTCCTGGGTCTCCTCAAGATCAGACTGTCGTCTAACCAGCGAAATACTCTCGGTATTGTTCACCATTTCCGATTATTTCTTCCAATTTCCGCCGCTGCCCAAAAACTCCACAACTCGCTACCCCCCGAATCCCACCGCTAAATCGACCCAGATCTTTCCTTCAAAATCCATCACACAAAGGAATCGTCTCTGGGAGGGGTGAAGGCCTAGTTGTCTATAGGCCTTCTCCCAGTCGACTAGTGCCAGGTCCCAGTCTCCTGGATTGTCGCACAAGAATTTCGCTACCATTCGGAAATCATCCCAGTTTGTCTCATAATTCTTCTTGTCCACAAAGGAATTCACTGACGGTATCTCTGGTCTATTCTTGGGAAATGATAGGTCGTATATGAGTCTCACCGATCCGTCTCCGTTTATCGAGCTCCCCATTGGGTTTGTTCGAAAGAAACCAAATCTACTATACAGCTGTTCGTGAGTAAATGGCCCTATGATTCTTCCCGCTTTTGCTTCTTTTGCTAAAGTGTTCTTTATTTCCTGTTTCACTTCAAATGCTGACTCGTGGTTGGGAGGAGTATACCATCTTTCCTTCCCTATGGAATGTTGTGGTATTCCTAAGCAAAAACCTTCTTTGAATCCCTCCGTGATGTACGGTATGTCTTCTTCGAGGCCTACTTCTTTCATCAGGTAAGTCCACTCTTTGATGTTCATCCCCGTCTCTACTTCTGCTGGCCAATTGTTGCTCATTTTTGCTTTGAACGTTCTCCTCTGGTTTAGAGGTAGTGCCGTTTTGGTTGTTTCTTCCTCCGATGAATTCTCCTCCTCTTCGTCTTCCAAGCTCTTTTCCGCCGATCCCCCTATTGGCTCCGCCTCTTCTCTTGCGTTTCCGCTTCCCCCATTGTTTTCTTCTGATGGTACGGTTGATTTTGAGACATTGAAGGTATCGGGTTCTCTTCTTGTCTACTCCAGTGACCCCTGTTTCCTCCTCGTCCCTTCCTATTCTGTCTCCAGTTTGATTTGGACGACTCCTCTTGCTGGAACTTCGGGTTCTGGTAACTACTCAACTCCTTCTCATGACCTGTCCTGAAGTCGAAGCCATGTTTGGCTTGTCCTAATGCGTAAGGGTTGCACTGGAATTGCAAGTCTCCGGCCGTGTGAGCGTCGTGTCTTGCGTCTCTGGCCGCCTCTTCATCTAGACCATCAGGTAAGGTTACGTCCTCCAACCTTCTCTTCTTCTTCCCATTCTCCTCGTACACTACCGTTGTTCGTACTCTGAACGTGACTGCTCTCATTGCTAAGTGGTATCGAAGTCCCACCATCCAACACTTGTTCTTCCTTGCTAACGTACTGACTATTGCTTTGTGTTTCTCTATGTAGGTAGCATAATCATCATATTTGTATCTCTCTTTTGCGTATCTATATTCTAAGTCGCACGCCATGATGAAATCTCCGTACGTCATTTGTTTCTCCAACTCCTCTCTTGACTGATGATGACCGTCCCACTTATTCTTCCCTTCTTTCGTCTTGGCTGTTGACTTGTATTCGTCGATGTAGGCAGCGTCAAAAACTGTTAAAGGTACGTAGTATTTCATTTTTCTGAAATTCTTCTCCCATTGGGGGGGGAGGTCTGGTAGGTCGACTGCTGATGCTTTTGTGAATCTGAAAGTCACCGGTTGATCTACTTTTGATTTCTTCTTCACCTCTTTCAACGAGTCTCTCGACGAATCTGAGTCTGATTCCGACCTACTGTCCAATTCATCATCTGGGTCCGATGATGGTGGTCCCTTCTTCTTTGGCTTTTCGTCTTCTGAGGATGAAACATATGACGATGAAGACGAGGTTGATTGGTTATCTTCGTTCGTCATCTTCTTCCTCGACCTGGACCTTTTCTTCCTATCTTTCTCCTTCTCATGTTTCTTCTCCTCTTCCACCCTTACTCTTTCTCTTTCCTCCTTCTTCTCCTCCTTCCTCCTGATCCTTCTTTCCTTCTCTTCTCTCTCCTTCTTCTTCTGTTTCTCTTCAGTTTTAGCTGACTGCATCTTGAATTCCATTCGCAGTGCATCCAAGTCACCCTCTCCTTTCCCCTCGAGGGCTTCGACCAGCCTGTCCAACAACGGTCTAGCATCATCTTGCTTCTTGGAGCTAGATTCTTCCTCTACCCGGGTCGGTTTTCTACCTGGTATCACTGTTGTCATCACCAACGTATTAGAACGAGGCCCTTATGTCAGTGTTCGTTCATCAAGTACCGAGAAGCTTCTACGCGTCGCGGAGCTGCCTGGCCTAGTTTGCTTCAACAGATTTCCTGGAGCAAGGGGCATTTCTACCCCCTTAGGTTTAAGGACTTTCCAGGAGCGCTAAGCTGCTCTACTGTCGTCGTCTCCTATATCCATCCTAGGAATGTCACTCACTTTGGTCAGTCTCTATCAAGGAAACCAATCCTTTCCCCTCTTTCCTCTCCGTTTCCTCTATCGATGAAACTGATGGTGATCTCTTCTTTGCTTTCTCCTTCCCTTTTCTCTTCATCTCCAAGATTCTTGTATCTTCCTCTTCTCCTTCCTCACCGCTTGAATCTTCAGTTCCTGAATCACGTTCAATCCGACCAACATTCTCTTTCGAGCCTCCTTCTCGTAACTGCTCCTCTTTTTCTTTCATTTGTTCTCCTTCCACCATCTCCTTCTTTATCTCGAGCAGTGCCTTTGCGCTAGTCGTGGGTTGATCGTCTATCGGATCCATGTCCTGAGTGTTAGACACTTCTTGAATTTGCGTATCTCTTCTTGACTCCGCTCTTCTTCTTCTTTTATCCGCTTGTTCTGTCTCTTTTTGTTCTTGCATTCTCTTTTTCTCTTCTGCTAATTTTATTGCTTGTATCATATGATTTGATCTGAATTGGTTCTGTGTCGTTGTCTTTCTTTTTAGTTGTCTCCACATTCAGCAGGTAAAATAAATTCTTTCTGGATATAATTCGCAGGTTTTGATTTTGATTGAGTAAATTATCCTGTGCTATAAGTATGCAAGTTTCGAGTGTCCGGTTTTAAGCTATCGTATTACTTGGAATCTCAAAAAATTCTGTGAGATCTAGAGCGAGGAATTATCTCAAGATCTACAGAGAGCGGGCTAAGAGAGAGGAGATGTGGAGGAGTAGAGAGGCGAAAACTTTGTTTTCTCTCTTCTCCCCATCGATGGCTCTACCACCTCGTGACAGGTGTTTTGTCACCTGTCACGAGCGAGCCTTCTCTCCCGCCCGCACAAGACTCTCACACCCCTCTTCCTAGAACATGGAAAGCAGGGTACCTCCGCAGGCTCTGGGAACACAACCCATTTTTGGTTGCTGGCGGAATCTCGCGGGTATGACAAAACTCTTTGAATGATAGCTGTTAAACTCAGGGCCTGTTTAGTGACTTGGCTGGTATGCAAACTCTGGAGTCTTACTATGATACTGATGAGTGTCTTACAAATGGAAGGAGAGCTCAAGGTGTATCATGGATGTTGAGCCTAGCGAGGAGAGAGCGCGCCACCACAGATGGGTACAATTTCAGAGGTATTTTGAAGTAGAGCAATGGCTGTGCTGAACATAGCGCGCATGTGAGGTGGAAGATTGGCTTTAAGCTCACGGTGATTCTCTCGCTCCAAAAAAGTGTTTAACATAAAGGAATGTTTTGCAAAATTGAAAAAGACAGATGTTCTAAAAAAAGTTGTACACGAGATTACATATGCAATGACGAGAGGAAAAAAAAATGAGAAAAACATTAATTTGAGCCAAGTTGACTCTGTGAAATGGAAGTGTAGTTTCTGATTTTAGTTTTATGAATAACACAAAAGTTTGAATGATCTAAAGAAAACAAGATGGGTATAAGTAAAAAATAGTGTAGATTTTTTAGCACGAAGAAATGATAAAAACAAGAAATCGAAATATTAATGAAGCAAATCCGTAAGCAAGTAGTAGTACGACCAACGAAGATCGTCAAGATATAAAATGTGATCAATAACTTATTCCTAGACTGCTGCCGGGGATATCGATACACAAGGAGTCGATACTAGGTCGAGTCATGATGCTACTTGAATAACGGTTGGTGCCATGGCTATGATGCTTGTTGCTGGCTTTTTGATTGTTTCCTTGCATGGCTCCTTGGTATAAGAGATCAGATTCTGGGAACATTGCTCCCTCAGGTGTCAAAGGCCCGGGTGAAGAGGGGACACTAGAGGGGGTAGGGGAGTGCGATCTAGCTTCGAGCATCGAGTGATCGCCGGCGGTTGCAAACGGAAGTGATAAAAGATCTTGACTGCCTCGTCGCGAAGAATCAAAAGAAGGTCTAACCTGTCGAGAGCTCGCGCGACTACTGGTGCGTGAATGTGGCGACATAACGCCTCCAGTCGAGCGACGGTTAGAGAATGAACTGGGTGAAGCACTACGTGATGGGATGGACACTCCGAGACCTAATAGTGCTGAGAGGCGGGGTTGAGGCTCTTCTCTTAACTCTTCCAGGAGACCCTCCTCAGCCGACTGAGAGAGTATAGCTTGCTGATTTTGGGAGAGCGAGGAGGAACAGCGTGGATAAGCCGGACGATCGGTGTCAATGCTGGCTTTTGGGTTGGATTCGAATCGGTCTTGAATAGATTCAGGTATGACTTCCAGAGGTGTAGAGTTTCTTGACTTTTTGGCACTCAAAGCGCTCAAAGCGCTCAATTGAAGTCCTAACGAAGGCTGATGGGGAAGCGGAACGCCCTTATGATTCACGCCAGCTCCTCGACCAAGTAGCTTGATTTTGGTGTTGTTTTGATCAGGTGATCGCCTCTGGCTCAACCATGCAAGTGATTCGGCAGCAAGTCCGTTTCGAGCTGCGTCGGTTGCGAGATGTGCATTATGGCGAAGGGTCGGGCAGAAAATGAGCGTACAGTCCGGGGAGGCGAGGGCTTCATAGAGCGAGTTGATTCCCGCAATGCACGAGTATGCTTCCTGAAAATTTCCCAGAAAGATGTCAGATGCCTGACCGGATCGGAAGCGTAGTGGAGAGGGGACTAACCTTTGTACCATGAGCAATCAAAACAGGTATACGGATCTTATGGGCATTGAGATGAAGTTTCTCGATGGCACTCTTGATCGAAGGGAGATATGAAGTAGGTCCAACGCCATTGGGAGATATTTGAGGTTCTATGGAGTGGAAACCAAGTATTAGATATCTTTGCAGGGTAAGCAGGAAAGATAAAATATGAACGTACTTCGGCTGAATCTCATGAAAATGTTGCTAGACTTAACCACTTGATTAGGATCCAAGGTCGGTCCAATTGCAATGATTCCAGCTACACTGACGGCGTCAGCACGTTTGAGTTCCTTTGAATCATAGCGAGCGTGCGATTTTGGTTTGCCTTCTCCATGAGGATCACGAGCCCACCAACCAGTACCAGAAAGTCCAGAACTGATAGAACCACGGAAGCTGTTCAACTTGCTCAACAACGTCTCGGAAGGTTCAGCTCGCATAGAGAGCGAAGGGAAAGAGAAAGCACTGGGAGAATTCTTGTAGGGAAAACCGGATGGAGACATGTTTTCAATGGGGTAGGTCAAGGCAACCAAGGCGCTGTGACCCAGACCGAGCAAGAACATCGGACGTTCAGTTCTAAGAGTTTCTAGGTCGAAGAGTTCACCGCGCACAGGTGAGACACCGTGAACTGCGGCCTGGATAGGACTACAAGCAGCCTGCTTAATCTTCTCGGCATCTGTCATTTGTTCGTCGTTGGTATATTGTTTGTTTCTTTCAATTTTTGCTTTCAAGCGGGCGGCCCTATCAGAAGCATCTTTCGACCGGACGTGTTCGATTACATCAGCTGAAAGTCGAGCTTTGCGGCCAATGTCGGTGGATTGCCCAGCTGAACCGAAGATACCTGAGTCGGCTACGTTCAAGTGAGGAATGATGAGACGATATCCATCTCGGATGAAGGCTGCCACGAACGGTGGAATATTGGAGCTAGTGAAAGGACTGTCTTGCAAAAACAGACTGTACAAGGGAATGAGTTGTGATTAGTCATGAAGTTGAAGAGAGTTGAGCATCATTGGATTTGTACCACTTACATGTCTGCTTTGAGCACCACATCAGGATCCCCAGCTTTCCGGTAAATCTATAGATGTCCGGAAGTGTTAGGGGTTGAAGAAGAGCCTTTGTGATTGTCAAGGGAAAATGTGCATACCTGGTATGGGACTTCTACGCCTCGATCTCCATCCATGATGCCAACCTCGATCTCAACCTCGCCACATTCGGCAGTCTTGATACGTACTGCGAGGCTCGATGGAAGACCTACTGGCACGTACGAATCTTCAATCGAGTCGCTGAGCTTAGAACGCCCTTCTTCAAAAACAGGTAAGGCGTGCTTGCCATGTCGGTGACGGAAACAGACGTTCGCTAATGTTCTAGGAAGCGCGCCCGCTTTAGAGCGAATGCCTCGAATGAGAGCCGAATACCACTTGGAGATCAAAGCTCCAAAAGCTTCCACGAGATATAAGACCGACTCGAGGAAGGTAGTAGGTTTTGGAAGGACGGTCTGTTGATTGGCCGAAGTTGATCGTCCGTAATGTGAGCCTGAAGCCTGCTTTTCAGAATCGGATGAATGAACACGATAATGCTGATTGGGACCGAGTTGAGTGGTAGAATTGAACCTCGAAGAAGGAATTTTGGTGTGGTAAATAGGTAGCGGAGGCGAAGGTAAGGCAAAATGGATCCTTTGAGGGGTTACAGGTGCGACAGGCGAAGAGACAGAGGCATCATGAGACTGGGGGACGTCATTATTGTTAGATACATTGTTTTGAGTAGGTAGTGAGGCGTTCATCGCGATAGACGCTGCCTCGATTTTGTCGGCATAGGAGCTGGCAACGGAGTTGGATGAAGGTATGAATGGTGAAAAGACATCGATACCATGGAGGGAATGAGGGATAGGAATTAATGGAGGTACAGGGACCCGATGCGATGAAACAGAACTCGAACGAGAATGGGAGGCCCGGTTAGAGTTAATATGAGCGGAAGCCATCACGATAGCTAGGCCTAAAGTTAAAATAAAACAGATTTCTCGAGAAGAGATGACAGATTAGCAAAAGAATATAGGAGGTAGAGGCTGGGGGTGAATGATTGGGGGATGTCGGCTTCTGAGAAGGTCAGTCTTTATAAGGCATGTAGGTGACTGTCCTGAGGCTGAAGTAGGCTGTCTTCTCCAACGGCGTTCAGGATCAAAATTGATGAAGATGAAGGGAATACTTGATAGAAGTTCTACTATTTGCATGGGATGAGCAGAAGCGGATATAGAGGATTAGGTTATTGACCGGGCATTGTTGCAATCCAGCAAAAGACACGCCTAAAGGGCCAGCTAAGAATGATTTGCTGGATTCTTCAAGGTAGTCCACATCGAAACTGTCGCTATTTGGGTCGGCGGTAGGAAGTAGTACCTCGAGCTCAGCTATTGAAACGCTCCTTCCGAAATTATAGACTTGGACTGTCAAGCCGGATGCGATTGCAGCACCTGTTTATTTGGAAATGGCCTCTCATTGTTTTGATGTGTACCTCTCACTCTAATATTGTGAGGCATATGGAGTTCTGACAATTCAACGTTTTTCGAAGAATTACGAAGAGGTGACGATGTTGCAGACCTAGAGATGCTCAGTTCGCTTCTCAAGTCCTAATCCTCGGCTGCGAGCTCGCCTAGGCGTGTGGGTCAGCGTATGCGCGACGGCGCGAGAGACGCGTTGGTACAATCATAGCACGGAGGTGATGTCCATCCATATTGTTTGTTCATTGTGGCAGCATTACTCGGAGTATAACCGAAAAAATGCTGTGAGTATGTACTGCATTGGCAAGTGATAGTCGACAAGGCGAGCACGCCGACCCCGGTACACACACTTGCAGCCTACTGATCCAGAGTCGAAGGTCAATGACCCAAGTCTACATAGGTTGCTTATCTTTGCCCTGTTCCTTGTCTTCGGCCATTCTTTTATGATTGAACAACTGTTGAATGCAGTCTGGAACTGACCAATTTCACTTATGAGTACTTTTGCCATTGTATTGTCAAATTGCTCGCCAGAACGTATACTTTCTTCTGTGATCACCCCTCATCACCAGTCCCAATGCTTGTTTGTGAATTCAAATGACGTCTAACAACTGTACTTCACTTGAGTCGGTCCAAAAGGTGCATGGATTCACGATTCCAACATCACCAAACAACACGAAATCAAACAATCAAACTCAACTTTGTTTGAAGACAACTGTAATGAAACTGTCCATTTTTGTCTACTTTACTACTCTTATTCCTCTGTTTTCACAAGGAATGAACTTTGGCTATTTTCAATGCACTTGAAAAACTTCATATTACCGACTTTTGTATGGGGATCTTTTCCATGCAATTTTGATGTGCTTCTATCCTTTCCATGAAGCAAACACATCTGATGACCTCTGTCTCGTCTTTGTAGGTGATTTTTTGTGATGATTGCATTCTTATCTTGCTGATGAACATTTTTTTGCACTTTATATCAGCTTTTTCTCTTCTGTGCAAGTGAAACTCCTTTCATTTTTTCCTCACAGTACATGCTTATAACTGACCAGTTAACACATAGTCAGAATTTCACTCTTTCCAATTTTGAATATTGCTCTCTTGATTGAGCAATCCTGGTTTGGCCTCCTGGTAGCTTTGACCTTGACTGTCCATTATCTTGGTCTTTATGCCTCTCTTGGTTGTGGAAGATTTACATGTGCATAAAACTGATATTCTCAGAGTTTCCTTTCTTGTTTGATTTGAAGATTGCTTGTGAGTTGTACAAAGACTTCAGTCCATGCATTCATGGATTGGAATAATTCAAACTCAAAAGTAATTGCTCAACCCAATGTCAAAGGAAAAATTGGATTATTTTTCAGTGCAGGTTGAGATCAATAATATGGTGTAGAATGAGATCATTCACATCCTCTTCTTTGCAACCCTTGTATTGTACTCAGTCTTTGTCTCATTGCAACCATTTCAATCTCCTTGATCTTTGGCCTCTTTAGTATTTTGCATCCCATTCATCCAAATCTCATGCATAAATCATATGAAAACCACCTGTGTCCACAGTCCAAACACTATCACAACTTAGATACCCTGGAAAGCTCTCACAGAAG